AAACCTCTAAAAATCTTTGAAAGTTATTGTCCTGGTTCCTCTTTTGTAACCTTTGTGGATATGGAATGGGGGGTACATAAGGTTTTACTGTAGAGGAACTGAGGTTTTGATCACTAGAATTCTCTTTAGGCACTTGCTCCTCTTCTTCTTTATCACTCTCTTTTTCAACACTCGTGGGTTCTTTTTCTTTCATAACTTCATTCAATATCTTACCACTTCTCAAGGTGACAGCCATAGCTCCTTCCCTAGGGTTTATTTCATTGGTACTAAGAAACTTACCTCGATCTTTTTCTGCAACCAATTTAGCCAACTGACCTACTTGCACCTCTAAATTATGAATGGATGCTTGGCTGGACTGAGCAACCTTATCAATTTTTGTAGCCATTTTCTTCATCATAGTGTCCTGGCTAGCCATGTATTGCAGGAACATCTCCTCCAAGTGAGGCTTCTTCTCCTGAGTAGGAAGTTGAGACTGTTGTGGTGCAAGTGGCTGTTGGAAAGGTCTGTATTGCTGATGCTGGAATCCTGATGGTCCTTGTTGTTGAAATCCGGGTGGTCCCATTGGTCTTGCATTACCTTGATCTCTCCATGAGAAGTTAGGGTGATTTCGCCAACCTGAATTATATGTATTAGAAAATGGATCATTTCTTGGTTGTTGCCTTCCCATATTGGATCCTATGAAATTGACATCTTCATAAGATGGTTGTGATGACTCTGCATTCATACAAACAAAAGAGTTATGACCATATGTATTGCAATAAGAAATTCTCTATTCGAACTATCACGAGTCATCAACAAGTTAATCTGTTTAGTCAATTCAGCCATTTGTGTTGTCAACTCAGATTGTGTGCTAATTTCATGCACAGCAGCTCTTCGACATCTCACTGCCTTTTGTCGAGAAATACTAGCTAAGTTCTCATAGATAGCTTCTAATTCATCACTATTTTTATCACCTATGTATCCACCTGCAGCAGTATCTACAAGAGACTTTTAAACCATCATAAAAGAATTGTATCAACAATAACAATGGAAATTGATGGTGTGGACATTGTGTCAAAAGCAATTTAAAACGATCCCATGCTTCATAAAATAACTCCCCCTCTCTTTGAGTAAAAGTGCATATCCTACTCCTATAGTCCATTGTCTTTTGAAATGAATAATATTTAAACATGAAAGTATTGTAAACATCATCCCAAGCTCTTAAAGAACCCTCTGGTAAATTTAACAACCACTGCCTAGCATCACCCCTCATGCAATATGGAAAACATTTCATTCTAAGCTCTTCTTCAGATAAATTATTTAAAGGTAAAGTTTGTACCGTACTATAGAGCTCACGCGTGAAACCCAAAGCATCTTCACTTCCCAAACCGTTAAAGGTGGTGAGCATATTCAGATGGAAACTCTTGAGTTCATAATTCCTAGTTGCATCAGATAATTGAATACAAAAGGGATTAACAACTATTACCGGTCTTTGGATGTCTCGAAGACGTGGTTGAGCAGCTTGATTGTGAGGAGGTGGAACTATTGGTGGTACGGGGTCATCCTGTTGACCCACTCTATTGTTTTCAGCCATTTCAAGCCGCCTTCGTACCCTGTTTTTTCTACAAGTATGCTCAATTTCAATATCAATAGGAAATAATTCAACATTCAATTCTTATGCCTTTTGATCGCCTTAAGTTCATAAATAATAATAATAATAATAATAATAATAATAATAATAATAATAATAATAATAATATAATAATAATAATAATAATAATAATAATAATAATGTAAATAGACAAATAAATAAAAATAAAATGATAATGTACCTAACAACAAAAATAAATTTAAAAAAGAAAAAAAACTTAAGGAACAGTTTAATAAAGTGTTCCTCGGCAACGGCGCCAAAAACTTGATTTTGCTATAATCTGCAAGCGCACAGAGTCAATCACAGTATAAATTCCTGGAGTATTCCAGGGTCGATCCCACGAAGAACACTATTAACTGTTATCTTAAATAATCACATTGTTGATATGGAAAAATGCAAATAGATAGAACTAATGTAATTAAAAAGAATATTTATGAATTTAAAGCAAAGAAAATTCCAATTGAGAGAAGACTAGGGATTTGGGGTTCACCTATTAGATAATTAACTAACTCTCCTAAATATTAATTCTTGTAATTATAGTGATGATTGCTCTAATTATATCCTAATACTCCGTCAAGCTACTAGGTTGTATCCAATTAACTGTGATCATCCGTCGATATCTCACCAACATTAATTGAACCCATTAAGCAACAATCAAATCTCACCACAAATACCTAAAGCTATGTCTAGTCTAGGTCAATTGTGTTTATCTTACGAGTTCTAGGTTCATAATTCACCTGTCAGTTCTTCTTATAAACCCTGATATTAGAATTATGCAATGGCCAGTCACACAATCCACAAATAAAATACATAAAATAAATATAATTTAGTTCAATCATTAAACTGAAATTGGAAGAATTAACACATGAAAAATAATCAATTAATCTAATATAGGCTAATCCAAATCCCTAATTAAAGTTCTAGCCAGTAGTCATAATTAAATGCATAAATTGTTCAAGGAACATCATTCTGAAATTCTAAACAAGAATAAAAGTAAGGAAGAGAAATAATTCAAGCCTAAGAAGAAGATAATCGCGATTGAAACTCAAAAATTATAACGCGATGAAGTCTCGAATTCCCTTGCTCGCTGAAGTCGCTGCTGCGCACGTAATCTTCTCCCCCTTTTGTTCTGTTCTGTTTCGTATATGTACTGCCCCCAAAGACAAGAACAATTTCATAAAGGGACTTTCTCCTCTTTGCCGTGAAAGAAAGCAAACCCAAATATCCCTAATTCCCCTTTTTCTTTCGCTGCGCCAATCTGACAAGAAAACTAAAATAAAATAAAGTTAAAATAATAATAATTATAAACTAATGAGACAACTCATTAAAACCTAATTATTAAGGCGCTTATTTAAAATTTAAGAAATAAAATTATCAAATAAATCTAATCTTATAATTAAAATAAAACTCTTATTTATATGAATAAAAATACAATATTAGCCTAATATTTATTAAAGCCCAACTAAACTAGTCTAAAATAGTAACATATAACTAAATATAATACTTATAATATAATTAACCTTAAATTTTAATTTATTTATGCAAATCACTAACTAAAATTACTCTAAATAATGTCTAGAAATTAAGCTTATCAGATTCATCCTTTTCTTTCTGTAATCTTATGCACAGTGTTTTGAAAGCATTAAAAGCCTCAGATTTTTCTCTGAGGAAATATACCCAACAGAACCGTGAGTAATCATCAACACACACAAAAATGAATTTCTTTTCTCCAATGCTTTCAGTTTGAGTTGGTCTCATAAGGTCTATATGGACCAGTTCTTGACATCTCTCAGTAGTAATAATTTTTACTGCTTTGTGGGGAGCCCTGATTTGTTTTCCAATAGCACATGCACCACAAACTCCTTCCTATTCTTCTCTAAGCTTTGGTATCCCTCGAACAGCATCAAGTTTGATCACTTTGTCCATATCTCTGAAGTTTACGTGTCCCAAACGACAATGCCACAGTTTTGATTTATCTGCTTTAGACATAAAATAGGTAGTATCATTTGTTAAAACATAGCAATTATCATATGAACGAGTTCCTTCCATTACAACTTGATCTGCCTTATCACGAACACTACAACAGTCTCGATTGAAACACACATTCCAATTCTGATCACACAGCTGACTGATACTAATAAGGTTTGCTCTCAGGCCACTGACCAAGAGAACTTCGTCCAGATGTGGCAACCCTGGCACATTTAGAATACCTTTACGTACTATCTTTGCCTTTTGTCAGTCGCCAAAAGTCATTGATCCACTACTAGGTTTAACAGACATAAGACACTTAGCATTCCCAGTCATATGTCTCGAACAGGCACTGTCACTAGTACAAAATTGAACATAGAAGATTGACCATAGACCACCATTGTTAAAAGAATGGTTGCCTAATCTTAGCCCAAAAATTTGCGTTGGCAATTTTGTAAATAAGTGATCAATAATGCGCCACCGTTGTTAACTGTAATGGTTGCCCATTGTATTTTTTATATATTTAAAAAAAATTGATTTATAATAAGCAACCGTTTCTAATAGAAATGGTTGCCTTAAAATAGAAATTGATTTATAATAGGCAACCATTTCTAATAGAAATGGTTGCCTAATATTAACCCTGGATCACCACCTAGATCAGGTGCCTAGTGTCCATTCACATCTAAGAAAAAGGGTTCTTCTTCACTGATCTCGTCCATTGTCACACACTACTACACTATCGCACACCACCCCCCCCCCGTCTCACTCTCACCAGAGTCTAGCCGCCACCGCTATCAGCTGCGACACAACCACGGCCTCCACCGCCACAGCCGACTCTCACTCTCACTATCTCAGATCTGATTCGTCGTATCCGCGGCTGGGAATGACGGCAACGGCGGCGAGAAGCTCCGGCGGGACCAAATGCTCAAAGTTAACGTCTTCTTTTCTTTTCTTTTGCTTTTTTCTTAAAATAAATCTCAGATTGGCCTTCCCTCCTTCATATCTGTCTTCCTCTCTTTTAGATCTCCATATTTGACCCTTCTTTCAGATCTCCATATTGGAAAATAGGTTGAAATGTTGGAGAAATGGAGACATCTGGTTCGTTTTCGCTCTTCTCTTTCTTCCCTCAAACAATTCATATTTATGTGTCTCGGATTCCATTTTCATTGTGTATTTTAGCTTATTCTTGCTTCAATTTTTCAGATTATTCGTTTTTTCCTGTTTCAATTTTATCTGAAATTGAGAGATATAGGTTTCTATTTTTTTAGAAAATTGTTGAATTTGTGGTTTTAGCTCTTACTTATTGCAGGTTTTCAAAGTTCAGTTTCGTATTTTGTTCACTTTATTTTGTTGGTGATTAGCTGAGTGGAAAATGTCAGGTTCTAGGTGATGCACTCTCTCCATTAGTGATGCACTGATTGTGGATGAATTTATTAGGCATCCTGAGGCTGATGTGAATGTTGCAGTTGCTTTTTACTTAAGTGAGATTACCAGGATTAGTGCACCAGATGCTCCATATAATGATGAAAAGATGAAGGTACCAAACATCACACTATTTTCTATTTTTAACTTCTCCCTTCATAACATTATGTTATATTGATATACAAGATGTCTTCCAATTAATAGTCCAAGTTTTTGAGAATTTATATGATGATTCGAGCAAATCATTCAATAAGAGGGCCTTTATTCTTGAAACTGTTGCAAAGGTTAGGTCATGTGTTGTCATGTTGGATCTGGAATGCGATGGACTTGTCATTGAGATGTTTCAGCATTTCTTTTCTTTAAGACAATAGGTATCATCTTCTGGCTCATGATGCCTTTGTCTGTGTGTTTTTATTTATTTTTAAATTTATTATTGTTGTTATTTTTATTACTAAAAATACAAGTTCCAAATATTTGATCTAGTGAACCTTTCTTGTATTTATTTTTTTGGTGGCATTTTTAATCACGTGGATACTTATATTCTCAATAAGTATATGGTTACTTGAACATATCCTTTATGCAAAAAAGAGGATCTAGTATTTGTTGAAACTTTCCTGTCGATGGCTCGATGCCATCATAGAACAGTTTCCTATACTTGTTTATGGTTTGTATAAACTGATCTCATAAAATTCTAACAGTGCACTATGGAGAGCTGAAATTTGTTTTTATGCACAATGGGGGTGCAAGAGTTGATTATGTCTTCTTATCCATGGCAACAATAAGTCAATAATGAGTCTCTTATAATAGAAGAAAGCGAAGATGTATCTGGCTAGTGTGAAAAAGGACAGCAAGGTCTAGTCTTTGTTTCCTAAATTCTTTTTTGAGTACTATTTCTGATTGTTTACTATCTTCCAGGATATTATGCCAATTGGTAAAAGGTTGGGGGAGAAAGTGTTTGCAGACAGTGCATTGAAACTAAAGCCTTACTTGACACAAGCTGTAAAATCTTTGGATCTCTCTTTGCATGAATACAGTAAAGTTGTTACCTCGACACTGGAAGGAACTACAAAAACCAATTGGTAAGTTAATCTCTTGTTTGGTTATTATAGTCTCTCTATATGGAATTTTGGAGTATTAAAAGAAGTTATTATCTCTTCATTGGGTTTCTTTTTTGGCCTCTCTAAATCATCAGACTTTCAAGCGAAGCTGATGTTGTAAAATTATTTTTACTACAAATTTTTTGTTCCCCATTTTCTTGGAGTTTGTTTCATGTACTAACATCATTTTTCATTGTGGATTTTGGTTAGACTGTTGGGAGTAAAGCAGCTACTGCATCTTCAGATGGAGCAGTTACCCACATGCTGGGGAATCAGTAATCAACCAGCTCTACTGCAAAGGACACATACAAGTCTGAGACTAATGACCCACATGCTGAGGAATCAGTAAAATCCTAACTCATGTACACAACTGACAGAATATTTCGACCATGCGCTTTCAAGTATTCTTTTTAGTATTTAAAATTCTCTCTTTGATAATTCTCTTTTTTATTATTTATTATGTTTTTTTTTGGCATTCTTTCTACTTATAGAAACAAGAGAACTTCTTTGAACTCTGTTTTAGGTTCCCTATATTTTTTCAATAAGATACTGCCATCTTTTAGTCAATTACTCGAAACTTTATCGTTGTAGAGTGATTTGGGCATAAATGGTAGGATTGACATATGCTTAGCTGCTGATCCTGTGAGAACCGACGTTGCACTGCCTGTCGTGTTCCATGCTTTGGATGATGTGATCTATAATGTTATGGTCAGTGTCTTGTTTACATGGTATAAAAGTGAACTTTAGCTTGTGCCTATTTTCTTTTAAATATAGTTTTAAAATTATTTTTTATGTGATCTATAATGTTATGGTCAGTGTCTTGTTTACATGGTATAAAAGTGAACTTTAGCTTGTGCCTATTTTCTTTTAAATATAGTTTTAAAATTATTTTTTATGTGATCTATAATGTTATGGTCAGTGTCTGATTTACATGGTATAAAAGTGAACTTTAGCTTGTGCCCATTTTCTTTTAAATATAGTTTTAAAATTATTTTTATTTTTTTTTAATTTTTAAAACAGTATCTGCGACCATTCCTATCTAAGAATGGTCGCGGAAAGTTGATTTAAAAAAGCAATACGCGACCATTCCTATCCAAGAATGGTCGCGTATTACATTTGAATAAAAAAATAAAAAAACAATACGCGACCATTCTTGGTGAAGAATGGTCGCGTATTACTGACAATGCGCAACCATTTAAAAACGGTCGCGTAAAGTCCATGACTTTCCGTGAGCCTCTCATAGGCAACCATTGTACAATGGTCGTGTAATGTCTTTTACAATGGTTGCGTATGTGCAGTTTTGTACTAGTGTGTCGAAATACCATCTTGCTTCAGTCATAGCGGCAGTTAGTACTATTGTGGGATAGCAGATTACTTCTGATTTTATGACCCAAACTTGTCTTGTGAAAGGAGTGATAGACTTATTCCGATATTTTTCCTTCCTTTGATATCTGTAGAAGAAGTAACATTCAGGTCTGGTGTGCCCTTTTGTCACACAATAGTGACAGATTGGTGAATACTGTTTAACTTTTACATACTTAGTCTTAACTTTTGAGTGTTGAGACTGAAATTTGACATTGCCAGGTTCAGCCTCAGTGATAAGAGTAGACACGCTTCCTCTCTGAGAAAACAGAGTTGATCTTGATGATTGGCCCCTTTCATAAATGAGTTCTGAACTACCAACAGATGTACCTCCTTTGATAAACACAGGAGCAAACATTAAGGATTTTCCACTTTCAAATCCGAGCCCTGTTTTATTATTAGGATTGCGACCAGAATCCAGAATTTTGTCTAAGATTGAAGTGGTATCCATCATCTTGATAGTTTTCTTCAGATCCTCCAGTTCTTTTATCAGCTTTCCCTCTCGAGATCTGATCTGATCAATAAGGTCATTTTTCGTCACTAAATCAGCATTTAGTTTCTTTAGTAGCTCATCTTGGTGTTTCAGATCTTCATTTAGATTCTTGTTGATTTTCACTAGTTGTTCCCAGCTACCAACCAGTTTGGCAAAATCCATCTCTAGCTGAACATGTTGTTCTTCAAAATCATCTGATGATATGTAGGACTCATCATCAGTTTCATCTTCTTCTGAGTGAATCTCTGTTGCTGTGAAGAAAGCCACAAAGTTTCCAACATTTTCATCAGACGGGTCATCTGTTGTTTCCTCTTCATCATCACTTAGGGTAGAGACAGACATGGATTTCTTTCTTTTGAGATAAGTTGCATATTCAAATTGTATATGTCTAAACCCTTCACACTCACGAGTGAACTGACCGATTCAGAGTTTTAACTGTGTCTGTAGATGTGTTTCTGAATTACCCTACTCGTCCAGTCTGGGACTGACTGATCTTCGTGAAAGAGGACGGTCCTGATTTCTGATATGCGAAGTTTCCACCTTTGGACTTAGTCCTGTTGGGTTGTCCTACACTCCTTCGATTAAAACCTTTCAGGATTTTCTTGAATTTTTTTGTCAATAAGGCTAAAGCTTCATCATCTATATCATCTGTGTCAGATTCTCGATCAACGTCAGCCACAAAAGCCACTGACTAGCCTTTTCTGTTGGATACAGGGTCGTCATCAGCCAACACCTGAAGTTCATAGGTATGCAGATTCCCCATAAGCTCACCTACACTCTTCATTCTGAATCGTTTGGGTAGAGAACGAAGGATCTTCTTGACAACTCTTTCCTCTGTAAAAAGTTTCCCAAGTACTGATGCTCTGTTAATCAAATCCTGAACACGACTGTGGAAGTTAGATATAGTTTCTTCTTCACTCATCCTGAGAGCTTCGAATTCTGATAGGACCATCTGGAGCTTTGATTGTTTGACATCACTGGTGCCCTCATACCTGGTTTCAAGAATTTCTCAGACACGTTTTGCCTCTTTTGTTTCTGTAACCAAAGTGAAAATTGATTCATGTAGAGATCTTACAATTGAATTCAATGCTTTATTATTCAGATCAGAGGAAGATATTTCATCTTCAGTCCAAGTCTCTATCGGTTGGATTCCAGTGGTACCATCATCATTCTGGACCGTCGGAGGACTCCATCCAGTGATGACAATACGATAAACTCTGGTGCCTTGAGCTTGAAGGTATATCTCCATTCGAGCCTTCCAGAAGGAATAATTGTGACCATGCAATTCCGGTGGTTTCATATTAGCATCCATCCTGATTCAAACAGACGACCAGCCAGAACTCACAAGCAGAGAGAAGTCCAAATATCTCAACAGATAACCAAGTAAACAGCTTCTTAAAGAAGAAAGAGAAATGCAAAAAGCTTTTCATGTATGGATCAAGTCATTATGTAGACTTAAAAGCTCTGATACCACATGTAATTTTGCATATTCTCTTAATCTGGGATTATCGATTTACTTTCTTGCAAATTGAATAGGTGACTGACTAACTCAGATTCTCAAACAAACAGTCATTCAGATAGATAGGCAGATATTGCATATTGCGGAAGACTAAGGCAGAATGTAAATCAACACATATGTTTGTTTACCTAGTTCGATACGGTGTGTATCTACATCTGGGGGACGATCACCGATGCGTCCAATCCACTAACTCAGAATCCAATGTACAAAGGTAGAGAAGAACAATCTCACCCAAGTGCCCCACACAAGGTCAGTACCCAGTCTACAAAGATTTAGTGGATTGTTGAAGTTGGAGAGCCACGCATTCAGAAGTCCAATGAAATCCCTTCAATTGGAGAGCTAACTCTGATGCAGTCCGCTTCAATGACACAGTCCCACGTTGTTCCCACAACTGAGTGATCTTCGCGTCTAATCGTTTAAGCAAAGTTGATACTTCTCAATTTCTTCTTCGTAATCACCATGAACTTATCGTCTTGAGAAGAGGCATGACAACCATAGATGTGTATTCTGTTTAGTATAGAGTGTTGCGGTTTCAATCAATGCAACCCTAACTTCTGAACATATAAGTATATATATACTTCTTGATTTGGACACTCTCCAAATATATCTCTGGTTGTAAAAATGTAAGACTTTTTGTGATGAAAGAAATCTTGAGATTCGGTCCATACCTCACAAGATGATTCGCTGATATTCTTTCCAAAACCATCATCTCATAACCGCGTGCCAGCTTTTAGAAACTTTCCTTTATCAATCCTTCGGTGGCTTGATCTAGATGTGCGTCTGTTGATTTAACTGATCAATCAGTCTTCTTCTGAGATGGTCAGACACCAAGCTAAACCCTATCTTAATTTGCCATAATAATATTGCAAATTATATGTTGCGATTTTTCTTAAAGAAATAAAACACTAACACAATTGATTAAAGAGTCTAGTAAATTTAGGTCCTCCGACTATTTAATAAGGGATTAGGAAACAATTTTCAAGGCAATATTAGAATTAATTAGATAGTTAATTCTGTTTAAGGGATAATTTTCCGGGGTGTCACAGCTCCGCCTGCTAAACCTGATCGTCCAGTTGGGTTCGGAACAGCGCATGGTCCGGGACACACCGCCCGTGTAGCCTGGTCGTCCATCTGAATCCCTCGGGGTATTCAGCCGGAGTCACACCGACTACTGAGGCTAGTCGCCCATCCGATTTTCGTCCGAGAGCCCGCCCGGGTACACACCGGCTGCTGAGATTGGTTGCTAAAGGATGAACAGCTGCCGTCGTTAGACGTCTTATATGACGGTTGGGAAGGGTCATGGGGAACTGTCTCTGTCTAATTTGGTTTCCACAACTGCCAATCTTCGATCTAAGGAGGCAACTTTGGCATTCAAAGATGAAAAGCCCTCTTCAATGAGTTGATTTTGTCTTCACAGTTGAACCAACATGCGCTCCTGGGTAGTCATGGACTCATGTTCCTCCTTAGTCCTTTGCTGTTTTCTCCTAGCACTCTCCTCACTGTCATGGTCGCTATCTCCCTCCCTTTCTTCATCCTCTCCCATTTCCTGAACTACTTGCTTCAGCTTTTTGATTGGAATAGCCAGCTGTTCCATCAACAATCTCCTTTCGGCTAAGGGTCTCTTAGCTACCTCCTCAAGGGTGATATACTCATTATTATCAACTTGGTAAATGCCGTAGCTACGGAGATTCTAGGCGTTAAAGATCATATTGCCCACAGGTTTAGCCATGGTTTGGCTCACGTCTACCCCCTTCTTTTCCAAAATCCAACTTAAAATCATGTCGTAAGGCAAACTCTTGCGGTTGTGGCCAACACAATAATCCATATGCTTGAGCATCAAAGCTGGCAAATTAAATTTCACTTTATGCTTCAGGAAGTAAGCAAAGGTGCATTCTAGGCTTCCTACATCCTTGCTCTTGTTTTTGTTAAGCAACAAGCTATTGATCACGAGCATTACCAAAATCCTTTGCTCGGCCGTTAACCACCTCTTTTCCGGCCTAGTAGCTTGAGTGAAACCATCAGTCCTTCCCAACAAATACCCCAAGTAGTCCTTGTGTCCCAAGTCCC